TTTCTTTTATGGGATTTGTTGACTCGTTTATCCCAGAGTCTGTTTTGGAATCCATCGTTATCTCATCCAGGATTTGTCCTGGGATTTGTTGATTCATTCGTTCTGGATCCTGTCTCAGAACTCATTGATTTGTTTCGAGTCGTATGGCATTCGTCGTTAGAAAGTTGTGGTCTGCTTCCAGAATACATGTCGATTCGTTTCTCCCGAGATCTCCTTGAATCTAAGCAGTTCTCGGTCAATTCGTCGTCAATCGTCTTGACTTTTAGATCTTAGTCGTCCTCACAGACGGCGCCAATTGTTGATGCAAAAATTTGACCTTCTGGGATTCCGCCAAATTCGCACCAATCTTCTAGTATAAAGGGATCGACAAGACCTGCAAAATAGAATAGCATTAAAGGCCGAACCTACAAAACAGAATAGTACTAAAGACCGGTGTGGCTCTCGCCACACAGGCTCCGATGCTTAAGTCAGAATCGGAGAAGTTAAGCATAAAGTGTAGGGTGTTGTGTGCATATCTTTAGGGTTTGGTTTACTTCCCTATTTATAAGAGTTGAATCTTGATCCCTCTAGGGATTGTGGAATTCGAATCCTGATACATTTAGGAAATCTGGTTATTTAAATATGAGGAGAATCTTGAGGCAATCAGGATATCTTCTCCTTTTGAATATATGATATATTCTTCTGAATCATAAGGTCATCAAGATATATCTTCCCTTTTGAATCCCTTAAATAAGGGGAATTCGAATTGTAGAAAATAGGGATTTTCTTATCCATAACAATAAATATATCTAACCATGCAATTTAAACTATTAAAATACCTTATATGAAATTTTGGAAGATCTGAAAGGTTGTTTCGTAAAATCCAAGCGAAAAAAAAAATAGAAGAATGCAGAAGATTCTATATAACCCAGACGAAAAAAGAGAAGAAGAAGGGAGATGATGGGACGATTGCGAAATAGGTGATTGAGAAGGAGAGCGAAGAGATATAAAAATAGAAACTAAAAAGAATTGAAAGGGAAAGGAAGAACCATGGCAAAAAGAGAGAAAAAATGGGAGGAGAAAAAGGGGGAAGAGATGGAAGAGAAACAAAGGTCATGTTTACTAACAAGAATTGGAGTGAGAATTAATCTAAATGAAATGCATCGCAATGGAGAATATTATTCCTTTGATGTTGTTTACTATAAATTTTCTAGAATCGGAATCAAAATTCCTTGGATGTTTTTTACTATTGTCTGGGATTGGAATCGGAATCAGATATATGACAATTACTATGATACTTTTTATTCTTTATAGCGAGTTACGAAATCATTATTGTGCCCATTTTTGTAAATAAATAATAATATTATTTTATTTTATTACTATTATTGATAGTAAATATATTTTATTGTAATATAGAAAATTTAATATTAACAAATAGTTCATAATTAAAATAAAATTACATCAACTAACATATTTTTCTGAGCAGAACAACCATCATTTAATATAAAATATTATTAAAATTTATTATTCTAATATTTAATAACGTTGAACTATATTTTAAAATTTTTATTAATATTAATTAATAATAACAAAGTAAAATAAAAAAATAAAGGAATAGTTAAAATAAAATTCCATAAACTAAAATACTGTTTTTTTTGTTACAGCAACTATCATTTAATATAAAATATTATTAAATTTTATTATTCTAATATTTAATAACAATGAATTCTATTTAAAAAAGTCTATTGATATTAATTAATAATAACAAAATAAATTATGTATAAATTTTTATTCAAAGAAAATTATTAGTAGTATAAATGAAAAATAAATAATAAAAGTATAAAACAATTAATAAAAAAAGTTATGGATCATTAATACATGAGAGAAAAATAGTAAAAGTAGTAAAATAACTATAATAAATGTGTATGACCCGCGTAATAAGAAATGAGAATGAAATTAACAAGGGCGTGGAAGATGAATGAGATTGTTCATTTTTAGGAAATAAGATTCTCAAATTTGAGATAGGTCCTACTATTTGATTTCTTTCCTGCAGTTTGGTAAACATCATAAAAAAAATGAAAAAATTCATTATCATTTGCTTGAGGCCCTATTTAGTTATTAGGAATCATAAAGAAAATCAATTGAAATGAGAATGTTATTCCTTTAATGTTGTTTATCAGAAATTTGTTGAAATTGGACCATAATGTATTTACTAAATCTGTCTGGAATCAGAATTTGTTATATATCAAATTACTAGTATATCATTTTATTCCTTTTAGCTAAATTGCAAATACATTGTTACGCTAAATTTTTTTAATTACAACAATAATTAATTTTATAAAAAATTTATTTTATTACTATTATTGATAATTAATGTTATGGGTAGCTTCCGAATAGGACACATGTTCGTCCCTCCATGGACATGGACCCACTATGAAATGAGAATGAGATTGATGAAGGCGTAAGAGAGAAATGAAATTGCTCTTTTTCGGTAACGGAAATGAAAAAATTGTGTGTCCCACTATTTTATTCCCACTAAATACCACGGAAAGAGAATAAAAATTTTGGTTCTCATTCCTTCATTCATTTTCTTCGAAGTAAACACGTCCAAAAAATAAGAAAATGAGAGAGAGAAAAGAGAGGCAAAAATATTTTCAAATAAGTAGGAAATCTAAGGGTGCGTTTGGTCTGTAACTAGAAAACAGAAATTGTGTTTGGTAGCATATTTGATAATTGAATCTCAGTTTAAAAAATGGTTGAAGGTCTATTTATATCTGTAAACTAAAAGTAATTACAAATTAAATATTTAGTTTAATCTAAAGTTATATTAACTAATTTATTAACATTTTGTATGAATTTTGAATAATTATTATTTAACAACGTTATTTACTTTGAAATAGATTATATATTACATGTTTTCATTTTAACAAATATAAAATAAGTTTATAACATGAAATAATATATTTATCAAAATTTTTTACTATTTTTAATGCAATTCTACCTCTTAAAATTTTCATATTGAAAACATACAAAAATCGTTTTCAGAATTTTTACTATTTGAATCAAAGAATTCGAAAATCTATACTATATTAAAAAGGTAGGATGTAGGAAAAACATTTTTGGACACTTTTGCCCTTTACTAAATTTACAAATTACAAATTATACCATTAATATATTATTACAAATATTAAATTAATTATTAACTATTAATTATCCATACTATAAATGCATGGAATATAAAAGGTTAGAATGCAAAAAGTTTTCTAACAACCTAAAATTAATTTTTTCTTTAATTAAAATTCATACTAGAATTTCAAGAGTTTTAGAATTTAAAAAGCTTTTGTAACATTTTATCCTCTACTACTATAAAAATAGGCTTTCTTCTACATGTTTTTCACAAGTTTCAATACTTTTTTATTCTTAGTTCCTTCAAACATCTCTCAAAGATGATTCAATCGTGAAAACATCTCGAAATATTTGTGACATATTCATCAAGTTGCAAGGGAGGCATATGTTGAATCTACATATCTCGAATACTAGGTTTGTGACATTACCATTCCACAATTTTACAAAGTTGAATAATAGTATATGTCAAGCAATCTTTAAGAATGAACATATTTACTCTAAAAGATGAGTGTATAGTAAGTATTTGGATTTTTTTTTTGTTACTATTGTTATTTTTCTAATTAGTGTGTTTTTTATTTGGAATGTTTCTTTTTTTAGCAATTTTATTTAGTTTAGGATTTGGATTTTTCTTTTTGTTACTAATGTTTTTTTATTGTTTAGTGTACTTTTTTTATTTGGACTGTTTCTTTTTTGAGCAATTTTATTTAGAATATTTGTTTAAAATATAGATAATTACAAGCTCATGTTCTTATTGTTGAAAAAAAAACAATCACAGAAGTCAATACATAAAAAAATGTTTAATTAATAAATTAATTATAAACAATAATTTGTATGGAATCTTAAAAGGTGGAATATAAAACTTTTGGTCATTTTATTTTCTTTTTAATTATAATATAAAATTAAATCAATAAAATAATTTATATTTAGTTAAAAAATTCAACATATATAACAAACGGTCAGTTTTAAACAAATATTTAATAAACAAACAAAATATTAAAAAAATAAAATAAAGGACCCATATTATGTTGAAATAATTTAAAAATAAAAATATTAAAATACCTATTTACTTTTTTATTAATATATAATTTTTTCCTTTACTTTTAATTTATTTATTTACAAAATATATCATTAACAATTAATTATAARTAGTATATTTAAAAAATAATTATAAATAGTACATTTTATTATTAGTAATTAGCTGTGAATAATAATAAATATATATAAAAATTAATCTTAATTATTTTTAGAAATAATTATACTTAAAATATTTTACTTGAAATTATATAAAATTTAAGTTACCTTATAATTAAAAAAAAATTTTACGTGCATTGCACGTGGTAATACACTAGTAATTTTAAAAAATAATATCTCAGATCCTGCTAAATACTATTCCCACAATCCATTTGATGAAGTGGATTTGAAAATAAACAATAGAATACGAATTTCACTCAAACATACCCTAAAAAAATCAGTGGAGGGATTAATACTACGTTGGGAAAATGTTTTTTTTTTTTTTTTTGATAAATATGTTGGGAAAAGGTTATTAATCCAAAAACTCAAAAAGAAACGGCTTTCGCTTCCTCCTGTGTAACAGACGACGCCGCCGCCCCCTTTTTCCGCCGGCCACCCCTTCTCCGACAAACGGCAGTCCCTCGGTTGAGTTGGTTGAGCAGCGGCGGCACGACGCTCCCCCACGAACCAGCAGCGGCGGCAGCTGAACCTCTCCACGGCCACCGCACCTTCGACGAACAGAAACTCCGCGGCCACGAACGGCGACGATCTGTGGTGGTGGCTCACGACCTGCGACGGTGCTTAACGAACAGAAGATACCCACGACGAACAGAGAAGTTTCGGCTCCTCCTCCGGCGTTCTTCAGTGTTCCGCCGACCCTCCACGGCGGCGCACGGCGAACAGCCCAGATCTGCGACGTATTTTTCGTTCCGGCGACTTTCGACACTTACCCACACCCAACCGAGGACTGATTTGAGTACCCACACCCACACCCACACGAAGTGTAATCCGTACCACCCTGTCGGCATCAGGATTTAGAAGCCCAAACCTCTTCGGCATTGATTCGGCCACCCAATTCGAACCCAAATCAGTTTAGGACCAAAAAGTTTGAGCCTTTTCGAACTCGATTTTGCAGTACCGAACTCATTAGACATCGAACCACTTTTAACCCAAGTGGTTTTAGCCTGAGTTAATAGGTAACGACTCACCTAAATTAAATTTTGATTTGATTAAAGTAATTTCTAACTCGAGCTTGATCACTTTTAATAGGACCCTTTCGGTGAAGCTTAGGAGCGTTAGGACCTGTTTGTAAGTGATCCTTACTTAGAGGACCTGTTTGTATGTAATTTCTTACTTGGAGGGATAATTCTTACTTAGAGGGATGTTTGTTGTGCGCTTATGTATGAATTGCACGTTATAACTTGTTTGTTTTATTAGTTAGGGCTCCTCCTCTTGGGCTTTTGTTTCTGTATGCCCTTTGTATTCGCTTCTTTTTTAATGAAAAGTTCGTTTCTTATAAAAAAAAAAAAAAAAACTTGTGTGTTTTATCATCTCTCTTAATGCTTGTTGGATATTGCTACTAGTTGTTTCTCTGCAAATGTTGGATGTTGACTATAAGTATTCTGGATGAACTAGGATTGGTTCTAGTTGTTTAAAATTGTTTGGCTATTGTTCTGTTATGGCTACAATGTTGACTATAAGTATTTTGGACGAACTATGATTGGTTCTAGCTGTTTAAAATTGTTTGGCTGTGTTTTGTTATGGCTACAATCATTGTAAAACATGCTGTTGTTGAAAATTATTATGTTGTAGAAACATATTGGTATTATTATTTCATTGTAAGCACGTTGCTTGTGGTTTAAGAAGCATGCTAAATTATTGTGAGACGTTTGATGCATGATCATGACTTAGAAGCATGTAGGACTCTGGTGAGAGTTTTGGTTTTGTTATGAAGTGAATGAGTGAGTATCCGGGTCAGAGGACTGATACGTCACTAGTTGGGAATCGAGGCTTTGGGTAACTGGTCGGGGGTCGATGCGCCAACTTTGGACAAAGATGAGTGTCGAGGTCTTAGCCATGTGTGGCTAAGAGTCAATGCAATGAGTCATAGAGGAAGGCAAGTACAGCCTTGAGAGGAAACGACAAGGGCCAATATGTTGCAAAGTCATCGAAGTCTTAGCTATGCATGGTTAAGGGTCGATGCAACCGTTCAGAGCCTTGGGTAAATGGTCAAGGTCGAATGTCAAGCGTCGTAGAGAAGTGTCGAGGCCTTGGCTATGCGTGGTCAGGGGTCGGTACGACTAGAAGGAGTAAGTCTTAGAATAGGAAAGAGTAGAGAGAGAGTTAGAGAACTCTAGGAAGGTTTGTGTTGTGGGGCTTGGGTTGGACATGTAGGATACATGTTTAGTGTAGCATATGTATAAACTGTTTCGTTTTATTTATAGCATAATGATAAGCATGATGTCATTGATAAGTAAGATGTATTGTTGTAGTGTAAACATGCTGCTTGTGTGTGACCCTTCAGGTAAAGGTTGCTGACTGAGTATTAGTGGCTGCACTCACCCCCTCCGTGTTCCTGGACAAAATTTGCAGGTAACGAGAAAACTCACGAGAATGATAATGGCGTGAAGGAGACTTGACTAGAAGGACCATATAGCGGTGCGCTGTCTAATTTTCATTTTGGTTAGGATAGTTGCAATTGTTTCTTTTTTAGTTTGAATTTGTTATTTGGTTAAGGTTAGTTTTGTTTAGTTCCATACTTAAAAGGATGTTTTAAGGTTGTCAATTTGTTATTCTATTGAGAACTTTAGTTTTGGTTATTTGTTCGAGTTGTGGGGATTGAAACTTATTGAAGCTAGCATTCGTTTTCTTTGTAACTGAAATGAACAAGATGAAAATAAACTAGCTTTTGCTTCATTGTTATTTTGAGAGTTAAGATTCGTTTAGTTGATAATTTATGGTTTTGAAACCTTTAAAGTTAAAAAGGTTTCTTTAGTTGAAGTGGTTGGGTAAAATGTAGTTCTATTCTCTTGATTGAGTTGAGCTACATAGGAGGTTTTAGTAATGTGTCCCGGGGTTTACAGTGTATTTGACATTAGTTTTTATCAAGGTATTAAAATTCTCACTGCTGTAAAAAACTTGCTGTCAAACACTTTTCTCTCCTCCTTAATCGCTAATTTAGAGACTATAAAGTTGACTTTTCTCTCCTCCTTAATCGCTAATTTAGAGACTATTGGCTCTAACTTTATTAGAAGTTTCAATGGAGGATCCTTAAGCTTCAAAATACTACTGTAACAATTATACAATGGATTTATGAATTTTGTACTTTGTTATGGCTCAACTTGTTAAATGTTTAATGATACACTTTGAAACTGTAGTATTGATTAGGTCTTGCAATGCATTACTAGTGAATTGTGCTGAGTGAAAGCAAGTTTTCAGTAATTAGTAACAACGGGCTTTTTTTTTTGGCTCCAACAGGAATAAAAAACACAATGGAAAGCAAGTTCTCAGCTAATGGTTGTAAGAAAAGGCATGCACTTAATAGTGTTTTTCTATTGTACTTTATTTGCTTTTGGCTGCTTAGAAATTCTCATCTCCCTGTAGTAGTTTTAGTTACTTGATTTTGGTTGTTATGCAGGAAACGAATTGAAGAACAGAGAAAGTCGCTTCCAATAGCTTCTGGTATTAACCAAAATTCTTTTGACCTTCTCAATCAAGTTGTTTTTCCCCCTCAAAATAAAAATATCTAAAACTTTATGTGTTGTCCCTTCTCTTATGTGGTTAGTTGAGAAACTTCTCGTTCAAAGGGTGCATAGTAACGATACATTGATTATTGTTGGTGATACTGGAAGTGGAAAAACGACACGTGAGATTCTATCTCATCTTTCTGAATCTTACAATAACATTTTAATACCTTGTTGTGCTTAACTATTTGTAATGATATATGATAGAGATACCGCAGTTCCTGTTTAATGCTGGATTTTGTCGAGATGGAAGAGCTATTGGGGTGACACAACCTCGGCGTGTTGCTGCTGTAACTGTAGCCAAAAGAGTTGCTGAGGAATGTGGTGTCGAGTTGGGCCAAAAGGTTGGATATTCTATCAGATTCGAGGATGAAACCTCTAGTTCCACAAGAATCAAGTACATGACCGATGGTCTACTACTGAGGTAGAGTATAGAAACACCATAAAATTCCTCGTCAAAATGCCATTTCGAAGGACACCCAAATGAGGTGCTTGTTACAATTTATTTGTCAGTAGAACTGTAGAAGTCAGTACTATTTTTTCATTTGAACCATTTTTTTCTTTCTTGTCTTTTGGTGTTTGTATGCATGCATGTATATTTTGAAGGTGATAATTGATTTTGAATTCATTTTTTTCCATTGTAATCTATCTGCAGTTGGTCATGAGTGATACATTAATGATTAATTACAGGTTTATTCTTTGAACTTTCAAAGCTGTATCTAATAGGATATTAAATAAAATGAGAATTATTAGTCACAAAATAGGAAGTTAGATACTTTTTTTAAAGCAGCTCTAAAAGTTTAGAGATTAAGGTAAAAAATCTAATAGGTATTTAAAAAACGAGACTTATTTAGAAAACAAAATAGAAAGTTAGATTTTTCTTTTTGAAGTATAGGGATCTATTAGATGCAACTCTAATAGTTTAGGGTCTAAGCTTGTAATTTTACCCGAACAAATGCATGAAGTAGATATCCTTTTTGATATTCTGTTTAACTGTGTGCGTCTTTTGAGATTTAGAGTAGTCATGGTAAATATGGATTTGGTGCAATTTTCTTACCAAGGTATCATGTTGCTTTTATACATTTCTAGGGAAGCATTGTTGGACCCTTATCTTTCCAGATACTCAGTTATCATTGTTGATGAAGCTCACGAGAGAACTGTTAATACTGATGTACTGCTAGGATTTTTGAAAAAAGTCCAGAGAGCAAGATCTAGATCTCTGAATGACTCTGTTATGAGTAACACTGAGAACATGAATGTTAATAGCATGATGTTAGAAAATGGAAATGGTGGTAAAAATGACAGTTCCTTCAAGCGATGTCAAGGAAGGAAACTACCCCCATTGAAGTTAATTATTATGTCCGCCAGCTTAGATGCACGCCTTTTCTCAGAGTACTTCGGTGGTGCGAGGGCTGTCCACGTCCAAGGGCGTCAATATCCAGTAGATATATTTTATCTTTATAAGCCTGATCCAGATTATTTAGAGGCCATTCTTATTACTATATTTCAGGTAGTTATTAAATTCTCACCTTGGATCTCCATATCCAATTGAGTTCAAGATTTCTTTTAGTTGGAATGATGTTATGGTTTTTATTAACGGTAACATGTAAAATATCTAGCCACTTTCTCATTTTATTCATGTTTTCCATGGCTATTTATTTTAAAGTTTGTTTTTAAATGTACACTAAAATCTAGTTTTATAGTTTGAACACCATTCGTCTTAATATGCTCTTAGACAAATTCATCTGACAATTTCAATATGTTACCACACATATCTTGTCAACTAGATTCATCTGGAGGAGAGTCCCGGTGATATACTTACATTTTTGACTGGGCAAGAAGAGATAGAATCTATGGAAAATCTTGTCAAGGATAAGATTCAGAAGTTACCTGAAGGAAGACGAAATTTAGTAACTATCCCTATATATTCAGCACTTCCATCAGAGCAGCAACTGCGAGTTTTTGCCCCAGCTCCACCTGGAATTCGTAAGGTATTTTAACCATATTGTATTTAGTTAACTCATTATATATATTTTCCTTTTCCATTCTTTCTCCAAGTCAGATATCATCATTTAGGTATACCTTTATTCAAAAATCCTTTTCATACTCCTGTTTTTCTTATTATCTTGTAGATTCCTTGTTTGTTTCATAGTTTACAATTGATGCTTCTTGTCTGTAATAACTACCCTTGGATACGCATAAGGTTCATTTGCTCTATTCTCTGGTTGATCTTCTAAATATTTTGCTGCCTACCCTGCTTTTTAGGTAATATTGGCAACAAATATTGCTGAGACATCCTTGACAATTCCTGGAATCAAGTATGTTATTGATCCTGGATTGGTAAAAGCACGCACCTATGATCCAAGCAAAGGAATGGAATCATTGATTATTATTCCAACCTCGAAAGAGCAGGCACTACAAAGGAGGTAGCATGCTGGATTAAGCATGAGTTCTATTATGAAATTGTGTTTAGGCTATATAAATCTAGCTAAAAGGATTTTAGTGAGTGTTCTATTATTAATATTCTTGTGCTTTAGTGGACGTGCAGGCCGTGAAGGACCTGGAAAATGCTTTCGTCTGTATCCAGAGATTACGTTTGATAAACTTGAGGATTCAACAAAGCCAGAGATTAAGAGATGCAACCTTTCCAATGTCATTTTGCAATTGAAGGCTTTAGGCGTTGATGATATCATAGGATTTGATTTCTTAGAGAAACCACCAAGGTGAAATACTTTTCAGGAGTTTATTGCTTTGAATATAAAATTTATATTTAGCAAGTTGTATGGTTTGTCTTTTCATGTGTGACTGAAAAGATGGGAAAGTGTGCTTGACTCTTAATTTCAACAGGCAGGCTATTATCAGGTCATTGGAGCAATTGCTTCTACTGAGGGCTTTAACAGATGACGGGAAACTATCCAATCCAATAGGACATCAAATGGCTCGCCTTCCTTTAGATCCAATGTACTCCAAAGCTTTGATTGTTGCCGGCCAGTTCAATTGCTTGGAAGAAATGTTGATAACTGTGTCAATGCTCTCTGTGGAATCCATTTTTTACAGCCCTCGGGAGAAGTTAGAAGAGGTCAGTCTTCACTTCAATACAAACCATGTTGTTGTGAGGCCACCGATTGTTAATATCTACTCTAGAAGGGGTATAGGGGGAAGTTCACAGCCAAATTAGTTAGCGGTAGAGAGGGGACTTCCCACCCAAGTTAGTTAGGCTGCTGGTACGGTTGTTTGTAGGGGTGGGGATTGTATTGGTGAGGTGTCCTCGGGATTAGGTCAAGGTTTTGTTTGGATAGTGTTAGGGAATATTTCCGAGAGTTTCCATCTCTCTCAAATATGCTGGTTGTTGCTTTGTATGCCTAAGGGCTTGTTCTTTTAATACCAAAAATCATAAGGTGATACCTTACAGTTGTTTCTTGTCCTTTTCTGTTGGTAGATTTTGTTACGCTATCATTAAAGTTATAGTGTGCAACTATTTTCTTGCTAATAACTTATAAGAGGTGATAATTAGCCCATTTATGAAGTCTTATTTAGCCTTTAATTTATCTTTATGGAGTTATATAGATTTCTTCTGTTTTCAGGCAAGAGCTAAAATGAAATGTTTTTCAAGTCCGGAAGGGGATCACCTCACTCTAATCAATGTATATCGATCTGCTGAAGAATTTCTGAGTAAGAAAACATTGACATTCAGCAAAGAAAAAGTTGAGAAAAGTTTGAGAAAGTGGTGCAAGGAAAATTTTATAAACAGTCGATCTTTGAGACACGCACGTGACGTTCACAGGTTAGCAATGCAATTTCTCGGTTTTATGTTCCTGCTTCCCATTGACGAGCTCTCTCATAGATAATTGCGACCTCTCTAACCGGACCACATTCTGCATGGTCTAAATTTGTGTTTAAATTCTATTTTAGTCTCTTAATTTTCAAATCTTTTATTTTAGCCTTAGAACTTTGGATAGAAAACCATTTTAGTCTTTGCTATTAATTTTAGAACTGGATAGTGCACATCTTTTGTTTATCTATTAGATTAATAGATATTTACATGGACATGTTTGAAGCTACATGTAATGGGTTATGTATCGAGTTTTAGACCACCACCACCCTCACCTCCCCCCTCCCACTATATTGGATCCATCCTCTTTCCTTCACTTGACTGTTCCATGGCTCCAAGCCCATGGTCTCTGCATCATGCTGATCCCATCTACTGCAAAGAAGACAAAGCCTACTAAGAGCCAGGCCAAAGGAATACGTAAACTTGCTGGTTTTTATTAACCTATCAATTATGATAAACCTTCTCCTCTTCCCACACTTGGAGGGCCATCCTCATCCATATGTTAATTATCTCATGGAATGTCAGGGGTTTGGGGGCTTGGTAGAAACGTGCCCTCATTAAATATTTCATCCTTCAACACAATCCCACGATTGTTATCCTTCAAGAAACAAAATTGGCCTCGGTTTACAGGTTTCTCATAAAATCTTAGTGGAGTGCATGAGATATCAGCTGGACGGCCTTAGAAGCGGATGGATCAGCTAGAGGCATCATCATCATGTGGAATGAGCCTACTTTCGATGTCAGGATATCATTATGGGTCTCTACACCATTCTTTAAAAATCACTCCTGCTGGTGGTTTTACATTTTGGTTGACAGGGATATATGGTCCATCTATAGCTTGTGATAGACCAGTTTTTTGGCCGGAATTATAAGATCTCCAACATCTCTGCTTAGACAACTGGCTTTTGGAGGTGACTTCAACGTTTCTCTTTGGTCCCATGAGAAATCTAGAGGTGGCAGACCAACCAGAAGGATGCAACGATTCAATGCTTTTATTGAGGGGGCTGCCTATCTGTTGGATATCCCCCTCCAAAATGGTCTTTATATATGGTCCAGCTTTCGTGAGGGCCCCATCCCATAGACTCATTGACAGATTTTTTTACTACAGACACTGTCTATGAAAAATTCAGTAACTTATTGGTTAGATGACTCAACAGGCCTACATCCGACCACTACCCCATTTTGCTTTCTTTCGGATCCGAAAAATGGGGTCCCTCTCCATTCAGATTTGAAAATATGTGGTTGAGCTACACCACATTCACCCCACTCATTGAATATTGGTGGAAAAATACACCAATCAGGGGTTGGCTAGGTCATGGTTTCATACAAAAATTAAAGGCTCTCAAACCAATCATCAAAGCCTGGAATAAAGACATTCGGATGTATAAAAGTACAACGGATTCAGCTACAAACCGAACTGTCCATTATTGATAATATGGAAGAATCAGGGCCACTACATGAGGTCCATCGTACTTGGACAACATCCATCAAGACAACTTTTGTCATTGGCAGGAAGGGAAGAATTGTATTGGAGACAAGTGCAAATCTAAATGGATCACAGAGGGAGACACCAACTCCAGATTCTTCCATAGAATTGTGGCCACTAGAAAAAGGAAGAACACTATTTGGGAGATCTTATCCAAACACGGTAATAGCTTATTTGCAGAATTAGACATTGTTAATGAGTTTATTTCCTTTGATGAACAGCTCTACACAAAAAAAGATGGCTCTAGATCTCTTCCCCCCAATCTATCATGGGACCCTATTGATCACATAACCCACTATAGTCTAGAAACCCCTATTCACCAAACAGGAAGTATGGTTAGCTGTTTGTGATCTTGGCACTAATAGGTCTCTAGACCCCGACAAATTCACAGCAGAATTCTTTAAAAAATCTTGGAACATTCTTAAGCAAGATATTATGAGGGTGTTCCAGGACTTTTTTAGGAATGGAGTCATCAACGCTAGCCTCAACAAAACTTATATTTGTCTCATTCCAAAGCGAGTGGATGCCCGTACCGTGGGAGACTACTGACCGATTAACCTCACTACTTGTTTATATAAAATTATGGCAAGAGTTCTCTCATCTAGACTTTAAAAAAATCCTACCATACACTATCTCAGAACAACAATCAGCCTTTGTTGAAGGTCGTCAAGTCCTTGGCCTCACTTATAGCCAATGAGATTATCGATGAATGGAAATAGAAAAGGAAGAAAGGGGTTGTGATCAAGTTGGACATTGAAAAAACATTTGACAAAGTAGATTGAGATTTCCTTGATATTCTTTGTGCCAAAGGTTTTGGTAGAATATGGGGGAAATGGATTAGAGGTTGCATCTCATCCACAAACTATTCTATCATCATCAACGGGAGGCCTAGAGGTAAAATTATAGCCTCTTGAGGGCTTAGACAAGGGATCCACTCACCCTTCCTATTCATCATGGTAGTAGATTCCCTTAGCCACCTTTTGACACAAGCACCAACCACAAACGTTATCAAAGGGGTTGAATTGGGACAAGATTCATTGCATATACATCATCTCCAATTTGCCGATGACACCATCCTCTTCTCCATTGACGACGATGAATCTATTCAAAATCTTTTCACCATTATAAAGGAGTTCGAAGAGGCATCGGGTCTTAACATTAACCTGAACAAATTTGAGATTATTGGTGTCGATATGGAGGAGGATCGCTTGACTGACGTTGCTACAACCTTTGGTTGCAAGATTGGTAGGTGGCCAAACACATACCTTGGTCTTCCTTTAAATGCTAATCCAAATGCAGCAGCTTTTTGGGCCCCTGTTCTTGAGAAAATTGAGAGAAGACTACAATCATGGCAACGCACCTATATTTCAAAAGGAGGTAGGCACACTGCACACTTTCATCCAAGCCACATTATTAAACCTCTCCATTTACTACATCTCTTTATTTGCCATGCCAAACAAGGTTGCTTTAGCAATCAAGAAACTTTTCAGGAATTACCTTTGGAGGGGCAGCTCTGAGTCTTCATCATCACACACAGTGATTTAAAAAGCGCGCCTAGGCGCTAAGCGCACTTGCTGCGCCTTGCCTTGAAAAGGCGAGGCGATCTGAATGAGGCGCGCGAAAAGCGCGCGCCTCATATGAAATGTCAAAGCCCATGAAGCGCCCGCTTCATGGGCTTTTGTTTAAAAAAAAAATTTAATCAACAGACCCTAAACGCAAGGGTTTTTGCGTTTAGGGTTTGTTTTTTTTAAACAAAATTGAAACTGCTGCACCGCACCCCACGTCTATTTGACTTTTGAGATTTTTTTTTTTAATAATGAAAGAATCTCAACAGATTTATTTCTTTCTCCCACGTCATTATCATCTTAACCTTTTCCTATTCGTATTCCTTCCCATGCACGAAAAAAGTTCAACGGTCACAATTTTTTCGTATTCCTTCATCTTTTCCCATTCAATTTTGACTCTCTCTCTCCATTTCTCTAGTCTTTTAAATTTCCACAATTGGACTCTCTCCATCTATCCCTCTTTGTTTCAACTTTCATCTTTTGTAAGCGATCGTGACTCTCAGCATCTCTCCCTCTTTGTTTCATCGTTTGTAAGCAGTAACAGTAAGCTCTCTTTTTCTCTGTTTCTATTCCTATCTCTCTGTATTTCTGATTTTTTTCTTCTCCAACAGAAGTACAGAACAGTCATCTCTTTCCCTCTAGGTTCTATATTTCTATTTTGATTTCTTAATTCTTCAACAGTCCAACTTTACAACATATTATATTGATCCGAGTCCTCAACCAAGCAACTTTATCTCCTCTTCAAATTTACTTGGACTGTGGACAGTAAGCTCTCTCTCTTTCTCTCTTTTTTTTTTTTGTCTCATTTTCTTTCCCTAAAACAGCACTAGAATTTCATTTATTTATAACTATCGATTAAAATTTAGGATGTCTAACGAAGGCTCAAGAAAAGATCCGGCATGGAAGTATGCTACTTTGGCAAATCCCCATGATATGACTACATTTATTTGTAGTTTTTGTTCAAAAATAACAAAAGGAGGCGTTTATAGGGTGAAACAACATCTTGTTGGAGGTTATAGAAATACAACATCATGCAAGAAATGTCCGGACCATGTGAAGGAAGAAATTAAGGAGCACATGTCCAAAAAAAAGGAGATCAAAGAACAAAGAAATCTTATCCCTGATATTGATAACGAAGATTTCGGTATGGATGAGGATGAGGATGATTTGGTCCTAACTAGTTCGAGTAAGAGACCTTATAGTCAAAGGCCAAATTTAGACCCTAAGAAGCCAAGACAAAAGGGTCCGATTGATGCATTTTTTACTCCTAATCCAGAGTCAGTAGTTCTGAATTGAAAAAATGAGAAAGGCAAACAAACGACACTTAATGAAGCTTACAAAAAGGAAATGAGGGAGCGCACAGTACAAAGAAATAAAGAATAGCGCGGTGGTTTTATGATTCCGGTATTCCTTTGAATGCTTGCAATTATGAAAGCTTTGCGCCTATGGTTGAAGCAATAGGACAATTCGGCCCTGGACTAAAAATACCATCTTATTATGAGCTTAGAGTGTCATTGTTGAAAAAAGAGTTAGAAGCAACACATGAATTGATGAAGAGTCACAAGGAAGAATGGGCCAAGGTTGGATGTACTATCATGGCCGATGGATGGACCGATAGGAGAGAGTGGACATTAATTAACTTTTTAGTTAATAGTCCTAAAGGTACAATGTTTATTGAGTCCATTGATGCTTCATCTTATGTCAAGAATGGAAAGAAAATGTTTGAGTTACTCGATAATTTTATCGAGCGCATTGGAGAAGCAAATGTTGCACATGTCGTTACTGATAGTGCTTCAACAAATGTAATGGCGGGTAAGAAATCAAATTCTTGCTCCTCTTCGAATTAGTATTATGTTAAGTTAAACATTTCAAGTAGGCTAACTAATATAATATGTTATCTCCTTATTTTATTTTGTTACTAGGGAGATTATTAGAAGCAAAACGACCAAATTTATTTTGGTCACCTGGTCACCATGTGCTGCTCATTGCTTGGACTTGATGTTGGAGGACATATTCAAGATCCCAAATATCTGTAGCACATTGAATAGAGGCATGGAGATCAGTAATTTCATTTATGTTCGCCCAGGATTGTTAAATATGATGAGGCAATTTACGAATCAGAAGGAGTTAGTTAGGCCAGCTAAGACTCGATTTGCCACAGCTTGCATAACATTATCAAGCATACATCGTCCGAAGAATAACTTGAGGAAGATGTTTACTTCTGATGAATGGAGCAAATGGAGCAAGGAACAACAAGGCAAGTGAGTTGTTCAGACAATATTGATGGCATCATTCTGGAATACAATTGTATTTGTTCTTAAAGTATCAGACCCTTTAGTTCGAGTGCTTAGATTGGTGGATGGTGAGAAGAAGCCTCCTATGGGATATATTTATGAGGCCATGGATAGAGCTAAGGAGGTCATTGCTAAATCTTTTAATGGTAAGGAAGACAARTACAAGGACGTTTTTCAAATCATCGATCAGAGATGGGATCTTCAGTTGCACCGTCCTTTGCATGCAGCAGGATATTATTTAAATCCAGAATTCTTCTATTCAAATCCGAACATTACAGAAGATGATGAAGTTGTTAA